GATTTCTCTTCCATTGAAAAAATTGCAGAAAAATTGAAATAATTCAATACAACCTGATATTTCCTTTGCAGAGGAAGGAAATATCAGCTTACTTCCAACTTCTAATATAGGTTCCGTGTTCCATGAAGCATTGAAACCTAACGCCTTTTGAAACAGTTTATTATTTCGAAATAGTTCTTGAACTTTTAATCCGGAACGTATGTATGTTTTCAATTTTTGATCATATAACATTGCTCCGCAAGCTAGTGCCCTAATAAGTTTATAACTGTTGAAAGAGTTAGAGATATCTCGTCCTGGACTTAGATGGTTCGAATGAATAGAAGAGCTTCTAGTGATTCTGTTGTAAGATTCAAAGTTCTCCGTTGCAAATAAACAGGCAGGTCCAAATCTTCGAATTGATTCACATAGATGAATCAACATGTGAAACTTTGGCTTATTGCACCATTGTGCCGAAAGCTTCACAATTGAAATCAAAAAACGCTGGATGAGTTTCTCGAGTTCCTTCAAATACAGATCCATGTTAGTAATTTCAGTCTGAAAGAGATATGGTGCCAAGTGAGCCAAAGCCGTCCATGCTTCACGTTCCTCATCTGAAATCTTAGAGTCCATAAAAATAAATGGAGCCGCCTGCAAAACCACACGAAACTCTTTTCCATTCAGGCTTTGAAAATGCTGAATCATGTATTTTGGCTGAATTGGAGGAATATTTAGACCGGAAGTGTCAAAGGACCTCCAGCGCCCCCATAGTTTCTCCTTTTCGGCGGGGCTGCAACCATTCATTTGATGACGCAAAAGGTATTTTGCAATACCTAACAAAATAACGTGTAAAATTTCCACTGGAGTATCAAGATGTCCGTTGAAGCCTGGGAAAAAGAGAGATGTATTTTCAGCTTACAAACAATCTAAATCAAAAGAATGATACACAAAATCACCTTTCAAACGTAGAAATGGGTTAAATAGGCGATCCCCAAACTTTTCATTCAGCTCACGACACATGTCGGCTACATCATCTTTAGATACAGTACAATTTTTATGTAGCTCTTGAGCTTGTTTAACAAAGTATGTATTCAAAGAATCTCGTAATCCAAGTGATGCTGAATCTGATTCAAAGTGCGAGATCGGTCCAGGCTGTTGGGCTTTTTTCCAAAGATCCTTAGTACCATTTGCAGTTGCGGTCCAATCACGAGTCGGGAGGGAAATCTAAAGCAAATATACAATCATCAAAGTAAGCAGGAGATCATTTGGGGGACAATGTGTATTACATCATTACTTCTCACCCGTTCTCCAGCCTCATCTATGCCCAGGAAGTTGCATACATACTTGGATGACCGCTTTTCTGTCAAAGATTTGACCTTCAAGTGACAAATCCTACAAGGGGTCAGAGAGGATGTTGGATTCATTGTGTTGGTTACTTCCGCGTGCATAGGAGAGTCTCCTAGATGGCATAGGATCGTAGTCATCACAAAAACTTCTTTTTGCGCTTTGTGATCAAAGGCCACAAAGCCATCTTCAGTCAATTGGCTGAAAGACCTTTTCAGTTTTCCTCATTAACATGTTAGTTATAAAAGAACGTGGTAATCTCACTTCAACTCGTCTATCAAAGGGTCTGCCAATTCTAAGGCACCTGCGGTGTTCGAAGTCGATAAAAAATGACAATTGAATTCTTGATTTGCTAACTTAGGCGGCAGACCGGCTAAAGTGAAATAGAAAGCCAAATGCTTGTTCCATCTCTTGGACACATTACCCGAAAGGTCATCACAGTACAAGACCAAAGGGAGATGTCGAATAATTTGACTATTTGCTTTTATTCGCCAAGGGTTGAGATATGGCACTTCCATAAAATCGTCTCCTTTTTGGGCTTTGACATCAAACCAAATGTTATTACAAAGCAAAATTGCAGAATCAATCCTATCAACTCACAATACATGACGTTGCTACAATAGGATTTCATTAATTGTCCATCAGGCAATTCAATTTGGTCAAACGTCCTCCAGAAAGTTTTGATGTTGATTGTCGAACAAGAAGGTGAATCAAATGCGGAGACAGCATTAAATTCAGTTCTAATTTTAGAATCTCTACCTACTTTGACAAACTTTTGGACCGCATTGACACACTTGGCCAGGACTTCTTTACCAGATTTATAAAAATAGAAAGGAATGATGATTTTTTTTGACTGCAATTGAACCAATTCAAACAAGTAGAAATGATTATCTCCCTGTTCAACCATCTGAACTCTAATATCTTCATCAAGTTCCTCACGCCACTTCTTTGACTGGGAGAGGCGATGAACTTTAGATTGAGCATCGGGCAGCTCCGGTATGAACTCAAGGAAATCGACAACGTATGGGTTTGCCAGTTCCTACAAAGACAGAGATTCATAACACATTAATAACCTGCTTATAGGCGTGAGATATGAGTTATCCTTGCCTGTCTCAAAGTTTCCTTAAGTGTTAAACCAAAGCACGGATTTTCGAGTGGGCTCAGTGTTTCACAAACATTGAAATTAAAACGTTTCTTCAAACGTTGACGATGTTTTTGGACCGTTTTGTATGCCGGAATTTTAGCTCCAAGTAGGCTGATGAAACAGCGCAAACGCTCATAATCTAACAAGGACCTCGTAGTCCTTGTTGACCCAAGAATAAGCGAACCAACAACTTGCTAAATATGATAACAAATGTTGTCAGCAGAAAGAAGATATTTGGAAAATTTCCATTACGGACGTGCCTCAAGATTTGCAAAAGGAGCCCATGACGAATCGTCTTTGTCCTTGTCGTTTTCAAGGGGGTCTTCTTCGTCTGACCCAATTGATTCATCCTTTTCTGAATCGGAATGAAGTGTATGATCTAAAGCATCATTGATAGAAGTATTGGTGTCACTATTGATGCTTAACGCTGGTGAGCAAAAGAGAGCGGATAAGTCTTTGGTCCACGAGTCTAATAGCCTTTTTCGACGATCTTCTAAGATCTCGTGATCTGGTTCCACATCAGTGAAATCGGGATTGTACGCTGGAAACTGATTATGATCATCCGGACTTGGTGGATCAGGTTCTACTTCCGGTGCCTCCGTTGTTGATAAATCGACTCGTCTCGCTGCTTCTTGTTCCAGCCATATCTTGTGAAACTTCCGATGATTAGCGGATCTGTTATGTTTTGCAATCGCATTGGATACCATCGGTCGACTGAGGGGACAAGCAACGCAAGTAAAAGATGAGGTTGTGCCTTCGATTGTCTCGTGATAACCTTGAATTATCACTGCATCAGTCATCTCGTTTGTCATCACATTGAGACAGTATAAATGGTTCACATTCATCAAGCCCATTAGTTGGGTCCATAATATTGTTGATGATGTCGATTAAGGTTGTTTGGCTTTGATGTGAAGGCCGTGGATTTGTGAGCAATCCTCCTTTTAAGAAAGGGAAAAAATTAAAAATCGAGTATAATGATGAGATTGATGGCTCCTTGAAAAATGCCAAGGGTATGCCTTCCTTCGATGGTTTGAAGGGAAATGCTTCAATATAACATCTTCCTTCATTTAATTGAAGGGAAAATCCCATTCCGGATAGGAGATCATTATCGATCTTTCAACCATTGGGGATGAGGTTTCCCTGCGGTGATCTGTGTTAAGATGCAAAACGGGTGACAGTGACCTCGTTATTGCGCGCGGTGACTTTTAATACAGTTGTTCAACCACTTAGCCAATGGTTGAACAACTGTATCGGGCTTCACTGCGTGGAGACCGGATCAAAACCCGAGAGGCCGACTTTAAAACGCTGGGCTGTCACCGGTTTGTCTCCCAAACTTCCTGACACCGGGTCTCTAACGAAAACAGGCTTCGTGGTGTACACTCTTTCAACATCACAGACAAATCTCAATCAATTTTTGTCTCACCTTTCCAAAATCAAAGGCACTCACATTCTGACTGACTTGGTGAACAGACAAACAATTATCTGTGCTCGATGTTCATACAAATTCAATGACAAGCAATACCATTCCCTCCAGGTTTGACTTTTTTACATAAAAACTCTGGTACAAAGAAGGCTTGATTCCCATTGCGTAACAACTTCCTATTTTCACAGAGGGACGCCGCGAGAGGGACTTTGTTAAGTTAACATCTGATAGATGTTCAGTTTCTTTCTTGTGCAATGATACCGAATAGGAAAATCTCAAAGTTTGAGTCCAATACAAGAGTTGAAAATTCAACATTGATGTCGAAACAAAGATCAGAAACAGACTCAGAAATAGAAATCCAACCCAAGAGACTAATTGCATTTGAAGTAGTGAATTTCATGCCTTGCTCTCCTGATCATCTGGTCAAAAGACAAAACTTTTGATGTCTTCGATTATAAACTCAAATCAATTAAACTTGTAGTTGATTCCTGGATGTTTGTTGGGTTTTTGCAAAACTTGTTGAGTGATCTGGATTGTTTCTACGACGTTTTGGCGAGGTTTGATCAGACCTACTCGAAAATCGAGTATCTGTACAGGGCAATACAGGTTTGTGTTTCGGGTTTTGAGGTTTGTCCTCCACCCTCCTCTCTCGTCCATCGTATATGCTTTGGTTCCAACATCTAGAGCATTGGCAAACTTTTTTTTCATTGATTGATTGCCCACAACTAGAAAATATATATATATCAGATAACTCTGACTTGGTTCTGGGGCAAAAACTGGTGGTTATAATTCTTTTTCAGATCAAAGTATATGTCTATTATTGATGTTCGAGAAAAAAAACCAATCACAAAAGGAAAAAAATGTAGAGATCATTGAAATGGAGACCAAAAATCCATGCCTATACAACAAACTAATTAAGATGTATGAGTGCGTGATTCATCAGGCTTGTGTGCAGAAAGGAAGCATGTGTATGAAATCGTAAAACAGGTTGCAACAAGAATGCTATTACGTGACCCAGCACCCAACACAGAGAAGAAGAAAAAGTTTTGCAACCAGAAGCAAAGCCGATGTTCACAAAAGCTGAGAATTGATCCTGAAAAAGACGGAGCTGATCTAAAAGAGTCTTGCGTGGGCACTCCAGCTTTTTGCTCGGCACATGTGTGGTGAACGAGACTCGACCAAGCCTCCAGTGCGAAAAGGTCGACCATAACCCATGTAATTCATTCCGCCATAACCCATACCAGGATGCATGCCGCCCATTCCATATCCCATTCCATACCCCATATAACCCATGCCCATCACAGAGCTCGGTCGACAGCCCATCCCTAAGTCGTACATTCCACCAGCGCCAGCGTATCGCGACATGGGAGAACGAAAGAGAGGGCCACCCATCATAGGGTAATCATAGCGAGGGCCAAAGTGACCACCCATCATCTGGGCTCGTAACATTTCCTCTCGGGGAGATACAGAGCCAGCGTAGAGGGAAGCAGATCTTCGGTGGTGCAAATCAGAATACATTGGTATAGGTGGTAGAGTATTGGGACGGCGGTGACTTGCGACGCTTTCAATGTCAGAGAAATCAAAGGAGGACTCAGAGTCGGCACGCTCGTGACGAAAGTTATTGGAAGAGTAATTCTGATTTCGTTGGAATTGGTTGTTCAGCTGTCGCGCTTGATTGTGCGAATAGTTTGACTCGAAATTTCGTTGTTGATCAAAATGACGATTACGCTCAAATTGTTGGTGCCTTTGATTTTGAACTCCTGTGAATCAGAGAAAGAAGAGGAAGCCGCTTGTCAATATTTAGTCTTTGGCTTCATGGTATCACGTATGTATGTTAGATCTGAGAGATTGACAGGTGCTCAATGGACATCAAAAGCCTGATCTATGAGCTAGTTCAGTGAGCTCCCGTGTGAATATTTTTGAGCTGTGCCTGGTTCATACATAAGTGCTCAAGGTATGACCACCATGCAGACTTCATCAGAGCTAGCTTTGGGCATAAGCGCGTCATGATCTCTGTTTGAGATGTGTAAAAGAAATGGCTGAGGAAGGAAAGGAATTGAGGTGTGCACAAGAGTTGAAAACGAGGCTGACCGAATATATGCAGTAGGTCGGTATCAAAAATCACAGCAAGTTTTGTTGTGAATGTACGCAGGAAATGTAAAAATGGACAAGCAAAAAAGGATCAACCGAGTGTTTCAAACGTTTGATTTACGGTGGATAGTTGCTTCCAGAGCTTTAGCAAATGATTCTAGAAAGAAAGTGTAAGAATCAATGGATGGGGGAACAGAAGGAATTGACTGAGCGAGGATGGGCTTAAGTACCATCATGATATGATCTCGATCATTTCCCCGCCCTAACCATGCTGCTTCGTACGAGGTTACAGACTATGAGGTCTAGAGCGTCTTTCACGCGGTCGGTCTAGGATACGCAAGGTAGGCGATCGATAAAGGCAACGGAGGGGAGTCGAAAGAAACCGATGTATGCAGAAAAATGATTCGTCACCACATAATGTCAAGTGTTCAAGAAGCGAAGAGACCGAGGAATGCAAAGTGAAGATGAGGATCGTAAAAAGTTGCAGCCCTTCAGGCTCAGAGGCAACCTCGTCCGTCTCTCGTCGTCTCCTAGCTTTTACGCAGATATGCTGATACGCTAGTCTCTCAAGAACTGCACTAAAGCAGATAAAGATTGTGAAGATCATATTGATATCGATGGCAACAGTAGGGAAAGTCGCTCGAGACGCGGCAAAGAGGGACTCCTTCAAGCTGGAGAAAAATCCGTAGGCTCTCCACGCTTGCTGCCCCCGGTAGTGGGGACCTTGATGTTAAGCAACCTCATGGACCATATAGATGAAAAGTTGACCAGGAGAAGAGATCGCAGACTCACCAATATCGTTGTAAATGTCGTGAGTAGGATACTGATCCAGCTGTGGTCTATTAGATTGATAGGTCTGATTCGCACTGTTAAGATGCATTCGGTCTTGTTGATAACCGGTGTTGGGACGATAGGCGGTGGCTGGAGAATGGGAACGATAAGCAGTATTCATGGTGAAGCTCGATGAGAGGAAATTTGGGAAAAACGAAATGGGAGACAAATTGAAGTCGTGAATATAAAGTTCGAATGATTTATCAACTTATTTTGCTTCCGATTGATCAAGGGCAAAATAGCTCATCAGCGAGTGAGACAATTGGTCTTCAAGCACAGAAAGTATGTCATACCACTCCTCAAACTCAATGCTGAGCTCGCAACATCTCATACTAAATATGGACGCGGTGGTACACCCTATTTTTCACTTCTGCAAAATCAGTCCCGCAATTGCCCCTCTTGCAAGTGGGCAGTGGCCAGTAGCATGACAGCCCAGGGTTGCGCGAAAATCATCAAACTCAACTTGTGACTGATCGCTGTCGAAGAAACGCGACTGGACTGCGGACTCAAACCTTCCATCACAAGCAGTTTCGCTCACTACGACAGATCACACCTTGGTCACGATCACTTCTTAAGCAGTCGAACCCCTCACACCCCCCAGTGAATCAGTCTGGGATTTCGTCATGAAGGGGTGGACTTCCTGGTTGACCCGAGAGAAATGCGTAGGCGGGACGTGAGTCCCTCAAACCGCGGCGTCCTTTTGAGCCATCGGTCCCGCTGGAACCAGCAGAGATCCCTTGGAGCCAACGTAAATGGGTTAGGATTGAGATTTTCCCCTGCATGGGTGGGGTATCGTCAAGCTAAATGTGACCTTTGATATTACTTCCAAAATATGCCTCAAACAATATAGCAAATATCCTATTGTCAATACAAACCATGACCATAGTAGCAACAGCAGCAGATGTTACAGTAGACTCCCAGGCAACAGAAAGGACAGCAGTGGGCTGCTCAGATTATCTCTTTTAGGAATGGCATACCTTGCCAAGCTACTCTATACCATGTCTATCTTGAGTTTGGACCACTACACTACACTACAGTGCCAAAGTTCTTATGGCTAGGGATCCAACAAGCCCCAAGAAAATGTTGCATAGCAAGGCTGAGTCATGAATTATGAGGAAGCTGTCTCACATCTGGGTGTGTAGAAGATAGAAATTCATGAAATGGGGTACTGATTATTTAGTACTACTACAATGGATTGACAGATTGATACACCAGAACAGATTATCACACTACCACAAAGTGCACTCTTCCACAGGTAATCCTTCTCATACATTGAGTACACTGGCAGCATTGATGTCAAGATGATTGCTCTACAAATGGTCCACAATTATGATCAATGACAAGATGGATTGGACAAGATGAGGTGAAGATTACACAGTTTATTTCACAATGTATGGAGACAACTCCACACCAATCTGCTTGAGCTGTGGAGGCCAAGGTTTCTGAGCTTTCTGAAATTGACTGTATACTGTTCTAAGCCTAAATTCAATGCAGCTGTATATGAACAGCATGTAAGTACATAACTGCCCAAGATGTTTTCAGCCACAGAGCAGCTTTAGTGGTGTGTTTGGTTCTTCAGTAATATTTGGGGTAGCTATGTTACATTAGGCCAAGATTTATCACTATTAGGGTAGATGCCTTGCATCAGGTAAAGACTTGCCGTCTGTGAAGATCACACTTCTCTTGAACGTACTCTTCAGGGAGATTAAGTGTAGAAAGGGAAAGAGTAGACTTAATATGGTTCACCCAAGTGAGACTGCAGCTAGTTGACAACTATGAAGAGGATTTGAGAAAGGAAAAGTAATTAGGGCAAGAGCAGGATGTAGCTATTACACTAAAACCTTGTGAGCCTGTGAGGGGCAGGTGTCATGGCTTGGATTCAGGGGTCTTTGGCAGCCATAGAGAGGTCTCAAGGTTGTATCCAGATCTATCATGTAGATTGTCTCATGAAGGAAAGAGACAACATTAAGCTAGTGCCATATGAACAAATATAACTTTGAGTCTGTGACATGTGTATTTGATCTTTCAAAAAATTTACTTATGACAGCAGGCTTTACAGCTGGGTTAACCAAAGATCCTGAGGCTATGTTGGACTATGTAAGACAGAGGTAGATTACTGATTTAAGGTTTATATCTAGAGACAATAGCTTCCTTGGGCTCATAAGAATCAGTACCTGGTGCTCAGCAATGGTACCAATGATGCTTTGGACTACACAACTAATCACATAGTCAAGGATCCTCTCAATAGTATTTCAAGTATAATGTGATTCTGCTGTTGTGATGTGTAAAGACGGGGGATGATTCAAGGGAAGAAGGGCACTATATATATTCACAGGTCAAGCATCAACTTGTGGTTGGCATGTGTGGCTTGTCTAACTACATGTCAACTTGTGGTGGACACTACATTTAGGTCTATGATGTATCTCATACATTACATACATGTTTTTGAGTGGCTTTTGATAGGGCTGTTCCCCAGAACTATGAGTTTGGGGACGGCTCCACAGCCAGGCCTGGAACTGATGCAACCCAAGGGCTTCCAAAAACAGCTTGGCCTGGTCAGGTCAGGTCAGGCAGACAAGGGCATTGTGGATTGGTGATGACAACACACAGATAGATGCCGTGCAGCGCCGCTGCCACACCACCTTCACAACCATAGTGCAGAAATTCACCACAGTGTCATGCTAACCTATTGCAGTCTCATTGCAGTGATCAAAGATTGGATAGCAAAGGTGGCATGGCTGAAAAAATTGCCGCACACTGTTTCAGCAGGCCTAATTGCAGCAGGTTGCAGGCCACTGTCAAAGCAACAAAATGCTTACAAAGATGACACAAGATCACACCTGACACATATTTATTGGTTAAATAGGGCATATCAAATTGATATTAGCTGACATAAGACACAAAGGACTCGTATTATGATACAAAGAACATATATCAAATAGCCTTATCCCTGCGGTCTCCTCACAGTGATTGTAACCCCGTGAAACCGCAGTGAATCCAACACAGAGGCCCGGCTGTACCACAGGGATGGTTTGGCCCACTTTGAACACAACACAACCACAGTGCTGTTGCAGTCTTCTGTAGGATGGTTTGCAGGTAAGTTGATTGTCCATCAAATTTAGTTGATCCACTCATTGTTGAGTTGGATTACCTGAAAAAACTGTTGCAAACCTGGCCAGGTTGGCTGCCAGGGATGCCTGCAGGCCCTCTGTGAGGCTCACCAGGTTAGGCTTTGTGGCCTCAGGCCCAGCCATGTAGGCTCTGAGATTATGCTTGGGCAGATTGGTTTGGTCAGGTTTGTGCCTGGGTCACAGCCCTAGAGCCTCTTGACAATGAGATGTGAGGTGTAGCTTATGGCTTTATACAATATAGTGATATTACATATGGTACTGACACTGTCAGCCTGTGGTACTGTAATCAGGTATCAGGGCTGACACTCTACACCACAGGGACACTTGGATGTCCATCGGATGCCTGATTTTTCTTGGTGGGGGATGGACGTCCTCGGACAGCACACCGAGAAACATTCGTCGGACTCCAGCTTTCAGACGCCTGGGCAGAGCCCATTGGGCTGCCCAGAACCGGCGATTTGACAT